ATCTACAAAACAACCCCCCACCCAACTACATCTAGCATCATACTGAGAGGGAAAGCATTAGGGTCTCCCTCTAAGAGAGCAAGATACCTCTTCTTACTGTTTTTATTCAACACAAAGTTGTAAGTTCTAGCCACAGCAATAAGGCAAGAAAGAAGGCACACTGGTTTTAAAAAGAGTAAAACTATCCCTATTTGCAGATTATGTTGTGGTCTGCATGGAAAGCCTCAAGGAATTAAAAACAACCTCCTAAGCTAGTGCTTGAGCTGGGCAAGGTCATATAATGATAAAACTGCACCGCCCCCAAACAACTGTGTATTTCTACATGGAAATTCCATACTGTGGAACCTGAAATTTAAAACATCATGCCATTTACTATCACTCTTAAAAAATTAAATACTTGGGTATATACTTGACAAATATGGACAAAATCTAGATGTTGAAAATTAGCAATTTCTAATGAAAGACATCAAAAGTTTACATAAATTGAAAAGAATATTTGTAAATTTAAATGTTCAATATGAAAAAGATGTTCTTTTCAAATTGAAGAAATTATGTAATTTTTATCAAAATCCCAGTGAGGTTTTTTGTGGACATAGACAAACTTATTTGAAATTTATATGAAAAACATATCCTAATATAGCTAAAAGAATCTTGAAAACTGAGGAATCACACCATCAAATATTAAGGGCTACTACATAGTCTCAGTAGCCAGTGTGGAATTGGTAGAAGGATAAAAACACAAATTAATGGAACAGAACAGAGAACCCACAAATAGACCCACACAAATATGCCATCTGATTTTGGACAGTGGGGTTAAAGAAATTCAGTGAAGGGAAGGTAGCCCGGCTTTCTGATCAAGCGGTGCTGGGGCAAATGAGCATCCCGTAGCAAAAGCGTAAGAACCTAAACCTCATATTTCATACAAAAATTAAAGTGAATCGTGGACTTACATATAAAATGTGAAAATTAGTACTTTTTAGGAAAAAAACTGTGCCTAGGCACAGTTCTTAATTTGGAATCAATAGCACAGTCCATAAATGGACAAATCGATAAACTGAACCTCATCAAGATTGAAACTTACTCTGTCTGTGAAAGACGAGGATGAAAAGATAAGCTATAGACTGGTAGAAAAGATTTGCAAAGGATGTAGCCAACAAAGGACTGGCATCTAGAACATATGGACACTCAAAACTCAACAGTAAAGGTGTTTTATTAGTAAAAGGGTGTAAGATACAAACAGACATTTCACCAAACAAGAGATTTGGGTGGCAGAGATCACAAAAAAATGTTCAACATCATTAGGAAGATACAAAATATTAATAAAACCACAATGAGATATCACTACACATCTATCAAAATGGCTAAAGTAAAAAGGTGATAACATCAAATGCTGGTAAGGATATGGAGAAATTGGATCACTCATACATTTATATATTTATACATTTTCTAAACATATAAAATGGCTTAGCCACTCTGGAAAAACCTGGGTATTTTCTTTAAAAATTAATCATGCAAATACCACATGACCCAGAATTTGCAGTTCTGGACATTTATGCCAGAGAAATGAAAATTGAAGTCCACATAGAAACCTGTAAATGAAGCATAACTTTATTCCTAACAGCCCTAAACTGAAAACAGCATACATGTTCTTCAAATGATGAATGGTTAAAGAAACTGGTACATCCACACCATGGAACAGTGCTCAGCAATAAAGGGAATAATTCGTGTTACAACTTGGCTAAATCCCAAGGGATTCATGCTGGGTGAAAAAACAAGACAATTCCAAAAGTTTGCCTACTGTATGATTCCGTTTATATAACATTGTTGAAATGACAAAATTATAGAACTGTAGAACAGATTAATAGTTGTCAATAATTAAGGATGGAGGTCCAGAGGGAGGTGGTTGTGACAATCAAAGTCATGGAGACGTTCTGTGTCTTGTCTGGATCAATGTTACTATGCTGGTTGTGACCAGCAGAGTGTATTATATAGTTCAGTAAGATATTACCATTGGGGCAAGTTGGGTAAAAGGGAACATTAGATCTCTTGTATGATTTCTTACAACTGCATATGAATCTACAGTTACCTCAACGTTTTGAAAGTTTTAATTTTAAAGTCTCTTATACACAAAACAGCAATAGATACAAGTAGGGGATCTTGTAGTGCAGAATCATCAAGGTGGTGTGTAGCCTGGAAATTATGTCATGGGGATTATGATGGAAGAGTCTAGGAAGTGGGGTAGCCCCTGAAAAAGAGAAGACCTAAGAGCAATAGAAAGCCACTACATGAAAGAATAATCAGAATCCTTGGGTAGAAGTTTTGAGATGTTACATTTACATATATGGAAGAACTTTCTAGAAATTAGAGCATTTAAAAAAAAGATGATGGAATTCTAAATACCTACAGATTCTGGCCTTGCTATTCCTTGAGCAAACCAGGATGCCTTAGGTCCTTTGCCCTGGCTCTCCCTCTGCCTGTAATTTTCTTCCCCACATATTTGCATGACCAACACTCTCAAGTTTTTGTTCAGTGTCTACTGCAAGTCAAGCAAGAGCCTCTGCTTCATATTATCATTGTCAGCATTCTCACACCAGGCCCTAAGTTAATGAAACAGGTGCCATCTGCAACATTATTGGTAGTGGAAAGTTGTTGGCAGAGAAGAAAGTTCCAGAAGGTCTTTCACCAGAAACAAAATGCTCATTTTCAAAGTAAGGCTGGGAATTTGAAATTAAAAGAGTGTTTTTGGAGAGAGTTTGGTGTGCCAGTGAATTCCTCTCTGCCAATGGGGATGTTAGAAGATTGCTTCCCACTTACCATGAGCTTAGAGAACAAATTCAAACATGGTTTGCTATACATGTCCCAAGACAAGTTTGTAGGACACAAGACAAATGGCTGAGTCATACTTCAGGCATCTGGAGGGCTAGGTTTCTGGCTGGATGCCTGCATGGTCGCAACAAGAGGGCTCAGAAGGGAGAGGGAGCACTCCCTGAGGTTGCAGCGTGGATATGTGTTTCTGTAGCAAGCCTCAACTGTAGAGGGGAAAAGGGCTTTTCTTTTTCATTTCTTTTTTAAAGATTTATTTATTTATGCATACAGAACTGAGGTACAGGCCAGAGGTGCAGGGACAGTAAGAGCATTCGTCAGAGACAGTGGGGAGTAGAACAGGCAGATAGAGGAAGTAACACTGCTGAGGGGAGCAGCAGGTGGGTCAGGAGAGGTCTGCTGTGCCTTGCGTGTCATCTCCCTGGCCGGGGATCAAACTCATGCTGAAGTGGCTGCAGCTAGCTTCATAGTGCTGCGCTGTAACCTGTTTCACCACCATGGACGGCCCTCTTTTTCATTTTAAAACTAAAGTCTTTTCATCTTAAAGGAATTTCAGACTTATTAAAAAGTTGCAAACCTTGTATAAGGGGCACACAAAAAGACAAAAAGCTGTACAATTTCCCAGCTTACTGCCTTGAGTGTCTTCAGAGTTTGCAAGCACTATCTAGTGACTTGATCTTTCCAGCCGTATGTATAATACTCTTATTTGTTCCATCTTCAGCACAGAACCGCATACTCCATGTGTTATAGGGAAATGATTTACTAGTCTACTTTAAATATATCCTATATCACATATATGTGATACCATCTAGATTTATTTCCATAAGTCTGAGGCATCCAGAAGGGGAGGAGAATGATGGCTGTGGAGGACTGTGGGTACCATAGTGGTGGGAATATTATGGTGACTGCACCTGAAGGGGGAGTCCTGTACAGTCAAAACACTAACAGGGATGTAAAACGGCATTTAATTAAAAAAATTAATTGTTTTACAAGGTAAGTCCTATCTTGTTAAAATGGGTTGCAAAGGACACTATGAAGAAAGTGAAAAGACAGTGCACACAATGAGGACATTTTTACAAATCATATCTGATAAGAACTTGTATTCACAATATTTGAAGAACTTTTACAAATCAATAATAAAAAGACAAATACCCAGTTTAAAAACAAGCAAAGAATCCAAATGGACATTTTCCCAAAGAAGTTGTACAAATAGTGAATAATAATGTGATAAGATGTTCATCAGCATTATTCATTAGGAAAATTCAAATCCAAGTCATAATGCCACACCATTTCACAATAGCCAGGATGGATAATTAAAAAGGCCGTAACAAATGTTGGTGAGAATGTGGAGAACTTGGAATCCTTGTACACTGCAAGGGGGACCTAAAATGGTGGAGCCACTTTGGAAAACAGGGACAGTTTCTCCAAAGGTTACACACAAAGTTGTCGTATAATCCGGAAATCCCTTTCCTAGGTAGGTGCCCAATCTATGGCCACGTTCGTGAGTCCATTTGTATGAACTAGCTACAACAGGGAAATCTACTGACAGAAAGTAGGTGGGTGGTTGCCTAGGGTTGAAGGATGTTGGGAGGGGGTCGAAAGTGACTGCTCATGGGTACTGGGGTTTGGTGGGGGTGTGGAGTGATGAAATATTGTAAAACTGAGTGTGCTGATATGGCTGGTTCAACTCTGCGCCTAAACTGAAGACCACTTGCATGAGTGAATTGGGCGGTTTGTGAATTATATCTCAAGGAAACTATTTCTAAAACGACCTTAGGACAATGTCCAGTGCATCCGGTAAGGATCCTTTGGGTTCCCAGCATTTCCTAGGTCGGCCAGGGAGCCTACTTGGCCTCTGTTTTCCAGGCAAACAATGTCTGTTGCTGGTGCTTTGTCAAGGTCACAGTGAAAGTCAGAACGAGCCGGCCTCCAGGACAACTCAGCAGGGCCATGTTCTTGGCAGGTGGGGACAAGAAGTACAAAATCAGAGACGTTTTAAGTAACCATCTGCTCATCTTAATTCTGGTTAAACTACTTCTGTGTTTGGTTTGGAATTGAGTATTTCTATCCAACCAGCGCTTTAAAAGAGTTTTTCCTCTGCCTGAAAAGCCTCAAATTGTTGAGCTATGAAATCGGGGCTCCTGCTGTGGGCCCGGCGGGAGGGATGCTCACGAGAAATGCCGCACTTCGCGGCGCCGCGCGTCTCCGGGCGCCGCCAGGGGGAACCAGCAGGGGGCGCCCTGTCCGCTCCTGCCCCGCCGACTGGCCCCGACTCCCTCCGCTACGCGCCCCCCCTCCGTTCGCCCTGACGTCCCCAGCCCCCGCCTCTTTCTCCCCGGCCTTCAAAGGGCGCTCGGGGCAGCGCGGCCGGCGCTTCCGGGCGCAGCGGAGGGGTCTCGCCGTCACCTGCCCGCGGCGGGGTCA